CTCAAGCTATCTTCTCTGGCGAAGATTCAACTCTTTCTGGGTGAACATGTACTGGAGGCTCTTATGGTCTATGAACATATCTACATAAACACCATACAAGTAGTGTCTCCAAATTTTGAGTGCAAACACCACCGCCTCTTCTCTGGCGAAGATTCAACTCTTTCTGGGTGAACATGTACTGGAGGCTCTTATGGTCTATGAACATATCTACATAAACACCATACAAGTAGTGTCTCCAAATTTTGAGTGCAAACACCACCGCCGCAAGCTTGAGGTCATGAGTCGGATAATTCTTCTCATGCACCTTAAGCTATCTGGAAGCATAAGTTATAACCTTACCTCGCTGCATCAACACACAACCTAGGCCGACTCTGGATGCATCACATTAAATAGCATAACCATCTAAACCCTCTGGTAGAGTTAAAACAAGAGTTGTAGGCAACCTAGTTTTCAATTTTGTGAAGCTTTTCTCACAATAATCTGACCACTGAAACTTGACCATCTTCTGAGTCAACCTAGTCAATGGTGACGTTACGGATGAAAATCCTTCCACGAAACTTCTGTACTAACCCGCTAGACCCAAGAAACTTCTGATATCTGTAGGAGAGGTAGGTCTGGGCCATTGTTTCACTACCTCTATTTTCTGGGAATCTGAATGAATCCCTTCACTAGAACTATATGCCCAAGAAAAACAACAGACTGCAACCAAAACTCGCACTTGTTAAATTTGGCGAATAACTGACGATCTTTGTGAGTTTGCAGAACAACTCTCAAATAACTCGCATGTCCTTCCTCATTTCTAGAGTAAATAAGGATATCATCAATAAAGACGATAACGAACAAGTCCAAGTAATGCTTGAACACCCTGTTCATCAAGTCCACGAAAGTTGCAGGAGCATTGGTTAGTCCAAATGACATAACTACAAATTCATAATGACAATACCGAGTTTTGAAGGCTTTCTTTGAAATGTCACTATCTCTGACTTTAAGCTGATAATAACCCGATCTGAGATCTATCTTTGAGAAATGATTAGCACCCTGAAGTTGGTCAAACAATTCATCAATCCTTGGGATAGGGTACTTATTCTTGATTGTGACCTTGTTCAACTGCCTATAGTCAATGCACATTCTGAGAGAACCATACTTCTTCTATACGAACAACACTGGTGCACCCCATGGTGAAATACTAGGTCTGATGAAGCCATTATCAAGAAGGCCTTTCAACTTGCTCTGTCAATTCCTTAAGCTCAGCTAGAGCCATTCTTTAAGGAGGAATAGAGATAGGCTGGGTATCTGGAAGGAGATCAATTACAAAGTTGATTTCCCTTTCGGGAGAAACTCCAGGAAAATCTTCTGGAAACTCGTTAACCACTGGAACTGACTCAAGAGTTGGGGTTTTGGAGCTTGAATCATTAACCCAAACTAGATGATAGATATAACCCTTAGAGATCATCTCTCTAGGGTTAAGGTAAGAAATGAATCGACCCATAGGCTCTAAGCTACTACTATTCCATTCTAAGATTGGTTCGTCTAGAAATTGAAAATGAACAATCCTAGTTCTACAATCGGCTGACGCATAATAGGAATGTAACCAATACATGCCTAGAATGACGTCGAAGTCTACCATTTCTAACTCTACCAGATCTGCTGAGCTGACTTTCTAAGAGACTGTGACATGGCAATTTCTATATACCCGTCTAGCTATAACTGGGTCACTGACTGGAGAATAGACTGAGAAAGGCTCTGAGAGAATTTTTGGACTAACATCAACCTTAACTGCTATATAAGGAGTAACAAAGGAAAGAGTAACCCCTAGATCTTACACAGCATAAACATCGATATCAAAGACTCGTAATATACCAGTGACTACATCAGGAGAATCTTCCTGATCCTGGTGAGTCATAAGAGCATAGAGCCTATTTTGGCATTGTCCGCCACTTGTACCAGAAGAGTTACCTTGCTAAGTCAGGCGGCCTATTGGTGCTGCTGAAGTTGTAGATTGGGCTCGATTAGCATTGCCTCTTTTACCCTATTTAGAAGGACAATCCCTTAATCTGTGACCAGACTGACCACATCCAAAGCATCATTCCTTTCCTACAAGTCACTCGCCCGGATGGTTCTTACCACACTTTGGGCAACTTGGGTAGGTTTTAGTACCTATGACACTCCCCTGAGACTTAGAGCCTGATGCCCTACCTTTTTATCATTACGGAACCTGGAGGACGGAACACTAGCTGATGAAGGTGCTGGAGTTGAAAATTTCTGCTGACTTTGCGAGCATTTCCACCACCCATTTTCTGTTGAGAATAGTCATAGTTCCTAGTTCTAGCCTTCTTATTCTCCTTGGCCTATTCCCTAAGCTTATCACCCTCATCCTGCTGAGCGTGAGTCATAAGCCTAGAGATACTTATATCCTCAAGTAACATGACATTTCTACACTCTGTCTTCACTAAGTCTGACACTTCATAAAAGAACTTATTCATCTGAGCCCTGGAATCAGCAACCATGTGAGGAGTATACCTGGAGAGTTGGGTAAATTTGAGCCCATACTCTTGGACTCTCATGCTTCCTTGCCTTAAGTTTATAAATTCCTGAGATTTTGCCTCCCTTAGTTCTCTTGGGAAAAACCTGTCTAGAAAGTTCTCACTAAAGCAATCCTAAGAGATATGAGTTGCATATGTACCCCTATTCTCCTTCCACTGAGTATACCAGATATGAGCTACATCCTTAAGTAGGTTGGATGCTAACTCAACCCGATTATTCCCATTTACCTGCATAACTTCAAAGATCTTCTTCACCTCATAATGGTGTTTTGGGGATCTTCTCCAACCTGCGATCCTAAGAACACTCGCGGATTCATCCTAACAAATTCTCGCACTCTGGCTGCAGCTGACCCAACATTAGCATTTACTAGAACTAGAGCCCGCTGATTAATCTGGTTGGCCACACTCTGAGCCAACATTTGGATGGTGTTCCTGAACTCTGCATTCGAGACTTCTTGATCTGGGACTGGAGGAGCTGCGTTTGCATTCCTAGCATTCACATTCCTGGCGTTAGCTCTACGGGGAGACATGATCACTAAAATGTAGAATGTCAAGTTAGAATGGAGTTAGATCATACCTTACGCACGATAAGAGTAGCAAGAAACTGAAGATTTTTCCTAAGCACTTTGTAGCCTCCTTCTCATTAGATGTGGTGCACTTCACACCCATGAAAAGGACTCTACTTAGTTCAGTTTTTCAGACATCCTAGGTCTCTTAAACCTAGTGCTCTGATACCAAGTTTGTCACGCCCGGAGCTACACCCGAGACGCAGACATGGGACCTAGGACCACAAGTCACCCCAAGCTAACCCTGCTGGATAATCATAAGCATACTAAAGATTAACTAAGGAATAAAACTCATGCGGAAGCTAATCATAAATAAATCTGAAATGATGGGGGATACCATTATACTAAAACTAAATATCAAATTTGAGAGTTTAATACAAAAGAAACATCAAACTCAAATACTAAGTTGAATCTAAATATCTCTCAAAATAGCCATTAACTTACCAAAAATACTGGGACATTCCCCAGCTAAGTCAAGCAAAACTGAAACTAAAAGACTGAAATACTGAAAGATAACATGACTATTGTCCTTGAAGATTGAGGACTCACCATTGATACTGTTGAACTGGAGATCGGGAACTGATCGAAGTGTGATATGAATGTTGGGAACCAGAACCTACATCACGAGAAGATGTAGCGTAGAGCATGTGTCAGTACTTGAAATGTACTGAGCATGGAGGATAGAGTAAAGCTGAAATAAACATATAACAGCACAAGCAATAAAGCAAGAATATAATCTGAACATGATATGGATACTGAATACTGAACTGATAAATGCAATGACCAAATTTATAACATACTAAGACTGAATACAGACTGTATTGAAATATGATCAATGCAATAGAATCTGATTGAACTGTGAGAGCTACTAATAACTGATAACAAAATCACATGAGCAAAATGTGGAGTCCGATGTATACGCCCCATCAAGAGGACCCAATATACCCGACCAAAGGTATAGAGGCATGTTGGCATGATCTCTAAAATGATGCCCATAGAGTGGACTTACAACCTACATGGCTCGTAGTTCTGGGACTATATGGGTACCTGACCCTAGTCCAACTAGGTATTTTGCTACTCCCAATATATTAAGTGATTAACATATTATGACTGAATTACTATAATATACTGGATAGCTCAAAACTGACATGCAAACTGAGAATGAACATTAATATACTGATAATGACTCATTCAAGACTGAGGCATGTATGTCTGAAATTATGAAATAACTGACCTACAGTGTGTAATTCAAGAACTAAAGAAATACATAGCTAGGGTTCTGAAATTCATGCAATAAATGAAGTAATAACATGATAATCTAATTTGAAACATGTAAATAACTAACTCATGATAATCTGCTAAAGTTTTAGAAACCGTAGGTGTAGTTGATAATAGGGAATCAAGAATCTGACTGAAATCTAGGAATCTAATGGGCAAAAGGAACCCACTAGTGAATTCCCACATGCCTGGTGATGAATTTCACGGAGAAATCTTTCCATTTTGGGGCTGGAACTGATGGAATCTTGTTGCGTTCTTGAACTTAGTGGTGGTCGCCTCTTTTTCTTCTTACGCTTTTAAATTTCTATGTTTTGATTAATGATCTGACTTTGGTAGGTTCTAGTTATGTTTCTAGGCTAAAACTAATCAAAACCACGTAGTTTAGGGTTAAAACGACGTATTTATGGGTCCAACTAAATAGGAAAAGACCAAAAAATCTTGGACTTAACTGATGTCGGAGTGACCAACGGAGGGGACTGACGGAATGTCAATCGACTGACAGTCCATGCTGGTCGACCGTCATTCATCACTGAAGCTGGACTTCTGAGGGTCTGATCCATGTCCCTGGACCACGGACCGTGATCTGATCTACGATCCGTAGGTCATAACCGTTGCTCGACCTTTAGCGAAAAATTTGGAGTGAGTTCTGGGGAGGGCTGCAGTGACTATCCACGGACCGCCAGCTGGGACGGTGGATCACTCTACGGTGCGTGGGTGACATCCGTAGGTGGCACATGTAGCACTAGATTATCTGCACTTTCGTTGTTCTAGCATACAAGGTGTTACAGTGTATGCAGACAAGTTGCGATCTACTTATATTTCGAGTTTATAGGGTGATGTTCCCCTACTAGACGTTCCATCCTCCATGCCACTAACTATGCCCAATAGTGATCATTCTTCTAGTGTGAAACCTAGTAGAATAGTTGGGGATGTTGCAATTTTGGTAAAGGATGTTGTTGATGATGATGAGTAGGACGATGATGAATTGTATGAGGATTAGCTGAGGAGAGATGAGGATGAGCATGGGATTGTGCTGACACTTATGGCGTTACGGGAAACTGAGGAGATGATTGTCCAAGCTACCTTGGAGAGATCCGTTCAGGAGATCTCCACAATCGGCACTTGTGGAGTCTCTTTAGACTCTGCCATTCTTCCCATGATGTGTAGGGCACTGATTCCCCAGCTGATGCCAAATTGCTGCTACATTTAATACTATTGTCGGGCTTTGCGCCACATTATTCTACTCCTCTAGAGACTCCTCCCGTTAATAGAACTCCATAAGCTTAGCCTGTCAAGGGGACATTATGACTTTTCCTCCCATACTTTGTACTTTTTCATTGAGGAAACTGCTTTTATATTTTTTGGGGTGAGGGCCTTTGTGCCAATTTTCCCCTTTTTCTTTGTATTTTGTTATTTTTATGTTTTGGATGATTGTAGTTTTTACTTTTGCTTATATTAGAGTGTTTTATTTGGTTTGTGTTTATCTCTTGTTACCTCTTTTATTTTCCCTCAGATTTGAAACTACCCCATAAATTTTGGAAATCGTGAAATTCTTGAGTTTTTATTGATAATATTTTGAGGATTGATTATGTTCATTATCAATCGCTTGAATTGTACTCATGATGAGCATGATGTATAGTGTTGGTGTTCCAAGAATAAAATTGATGTCGTTGCACTTTTGAGAGATCTCTTTGAATATTTTATTGACTAACTGTGTTTTGATGTGAGCCTTGAAATGAACATCATACATATTCTTTTCATCTTTTTGGGCTGTGCTAAATGAGTGTATTTCGAAGTGCCATGTGTGGTTCAGTCTCACATGAAAGCATGTGTAGAATCCTAGATTTTTCTTTGTTAGTCTAATTATCTAAACCTTGGTAAATTTAAGTCGTGATATTGGGCAACAATTCTAAGGGGGAACCCAACTTTCCATATAATTTGTGACTACTTTTCTAGGGTGTGCATCCATTTGTGCATCAGTTTGAGCCTACGATAGCTCTACGTTACGGAGCCAATACATACCTCACTGCCCGCTAGAAAATTATTTCGGATCCCAGCTCATTTTATTTATTTATTTAAGGGTATTTTAGTCCTAATATCCCTTAGGAGGTTATCTAAGTTACCCTAATCATGTAGAAAAATTAATTTTCATAAATCAAACCCTCTCATTCACTCCTAAAATTTTACACTCAAGAAATTCAAGAAACGCTAAGGATAGGGGTCATCTTCCAAGATTTTCCTTCAAGTTTCTTAAAGAAGATTGTTCTTCCAGGTATGTAAGCTTTCATCGTGTTGGGTTTGTTCGCCCTAACGCCAATCATGTAAAATTTCATCCCTGAATTCTTTTTAAAGTTGATTGATTGAGATTCTTAATGAATTATTGAGGTTTAGCTTCACTCTTTATTAATGGTGTCTTGTTGAGTTCTTGAGGTGAGGATTTTGCGAATGAGTGTTATTCTTAATGTGTTTTTGTGTGGGTTTCATTGAAAACGTTTTGGGTTTATGAAAATTTGTGAATTGGGATCATAGAATTGCATAGGGTATGAATTGAATCGAGTTGGGAGAGGAAGAAAAGATCGGTAAAATAATCGCACCCAGGTCAACGTCACGGAGATGCTTAAGATTTTTCAGTTTTCAGATAGCCACCCCATCTCCACATCGTGGAGAGGATACGAAGTCCTCTTCCTCAAAATATTATTTTGCGACAAAAAATTCACCATCTGCGTCACGCTAGTGACCTCCGATTTGTGTCTTCGCTCATATCTTATTATCAACTATCTAAACTTCATTTAATCATTGAGAGGTCCTATATCCTAATCATAATCCTTGAATTTATACTTCAAATTCAAGGTAGAGTTAAGAGTAAAGTGGGAGAAAGTCCCTTTGAGTCTTTTTGAGGATTCTTCTACAATTACTTATAAATTGTTTCAAGACTAGAGTAAGTGAGCATGAGAATTAGAAGAGTGTATTCATTAGTCTACATTATCATTGAGATCCTTGAGTCGTTGATGCCCATAATTCCTCATGAATTCCATTAATTAAGTATCTTCGAGTTCTTATTCTTGAGTATTGATTCCCTAACCTATTTGAGATTATATTCCTAATTATGGGACTACCATATGTTATACATTAAGGTTTTTGAGTTCAGTCGTTCATACCTGTAATTCCACATGAACCCTATAGGTCGAGCATTTTTTAGATGAGTAGTATCATTGAGTCCTTCAGTTCTTGAGTTCCAAGTATTGAGTTCTATATATGGTTATTGAAACCCTTGAATGAGTCATTCACATCCATAATTCGGCATGAACCCTATTTTGAGAAGTCTTTTACAATTATTTATAATTTGTTTAAAGACTTGAGTAAATGATTATGAGGATGAGGAGAGTCGAGTTTCATTTTTTAAAATGAGTACAAGGGGACTAAGTATTCCCAAGAGTAAATGTTTTTACATTTAAATTAGAGGAAACTTCGATTTCCAAATGAGTTCTTGAGAAGTTTTAAGCACTATCTCTTTTAAGAGAACCTTTTGAGTAATAATCTCAAAGTTTGAGGATAAGAAAATGTTTTTAAACACATGAGCATGCGTCATATTATTTGGAGTAGTATTGAGCGTCGATATGAGGATAAGTTCAAACAACTCAAAGTCCTCACAAATCATGTATGCAAACATGTGTAGAAAGGATCAT